TACCCAATCTTCTAAACTTATTTCAACCAAAAAAAGAAGAAAACCCAAAAAATGAAAAATCATTTACTCAAATAAAAACAGAATGATTTACTTTATAGATACGCATTTAATTTATTCGTAGATATCTAACAAAACAATTTAATTAATTGCAATTTTGCAATAAATGAAACGTATTAATAAAGTGTAATAAACGATCCGCTGCAGTGCGTCGCAGCAGAGTAGGCTAATTGAACGTTTCGGCGCTCGCCGATAAGTTTTAGTAATTAATAACTTAATTACCGTATTCGGCGCACGCACGTTCCCGGCCAATGCGCGTGTAATGAAATGGCCGGCGAGGCGAAAGCGTTCGAGAGGACGGGAGATAACGCATTGTAAGGACGAGAGGCAATGCGGAGGGCGGCACGTCGGGTAAATAATGAAAATCCAACTAATGAAGCATTCAACGGCGAGGACGGACAATTAAAATCAACTCGCGCTCACACCACAGTTGCGTCCGCGCCTATATCGCTGATACGAGTGCTCGGCCACTGATTACATGCATGATGTGCGAACGTTCAAAGCCGTTTGGAGCGTTTATACGTTTTGACGGATCAACAATGAAAGGATATTCATGATTAATTAATTATAATTTTTTAGACACCAATGATTTACAGAATCTGTAATTAATACGTGTTATAAGTACTGCAGTAATTTATTTATAATTTATTTCTTGGATCCCTAATTTTACACCTTTAAAATTATATTTTTACATCAAAAAGTAACCTATGTTATTATACTTAGCCAAAGATATCTCTATACCAGAATTAATATAAATTGATTGAGTGGTTTTGACGTGAAAGTGTCACAAACATACAAAATCACATTTGCACTTATAAAATTAGTTGTGAAGGTAGATTAATGAGGAAAAATTAATTCCCTAAAATAAAAACGTATAAAACAAAATTCTAAAAGTTTTAAATTGCAGTTTTTGAATAAAATAACGTTATCCTGGACTTGACGTATGTGATTATGACCTATAATTAAAAAAATAAATCCTCGATAAATCTGCGACCCCTTTACAATGAAAAACTAATTTAAAAAGCATTCAACTGAAATTTAATTTAAAATTTATACAAAAACGTGCATTAGTTTACAAAATCTAATATTTAATCAACAATATATGGTAAAATTCTTATATGATTTAATAGCGTTTGTGTTCGTGATACTTTATTTCCTTTTTCTAAACTCATTTTACCTTTGCGAGTGTGTAGAAGTTTGATAACGAACTTATTTGTTGATTTCGGGCGCGCCCTGAAAGTTCCTATAGGAAACGTCGAAATGTAGAAACGTGGAAAGTTAATTGTGTTATTGTTCCCTCATATCTTCATCCAGGACGCGTAGTCTAAGTCAAGATATAACATTATTAGTTTCAAACATCGCCAGCAGACTTCTGTTTCAGCGTGAGCGTCGAGAGTAGAAAGTAGAAAAGTTTGTGCCAAGTTTAATGTCTTGTTTGCGAATGCCGGACATATGTAAGTGCTAATAAGGAGTTATGAAACGCCGGAGTTTACTTCCCAAAAAAATATTAATCTAATATGTACCAATAAAAACTAGCAATTTATTGCTTAGTTTTAATTTGAAGTTAATGCGCATGCGTACATGAATTTTCAACATTTAAAAGTTGAGTATAATTGCATTTATCGCACGTGAACATGCCGCCAAACTACAAACATCTTCTCAGTACTTCTTGTGCTTGTGTTTATCGCATTCGCTCCTTTTGTTCGCCCGTTGCAGGATAACAGTTATAGTCATAAATAGTCACCCATCCGCATACACCCGTATGTTTGTTTCTATGAGTCTCCAAAGGTGGAAGCACCTACCACTCCGCTTGCGTTCACAGCGCACGTAATTAAACAAAGCGCAATAATTCTAAAATTAAGTTATGAATAATTATTAAGCGCGCGACGCGCGTGCTGCTGACATTCTTGCGTCCTCGTGCTTACAATTTAATATTTGTGTGTGGGTGGGAAGCGTACAAATGCAGGAACGCAGAAACTTTTGTTGTCACGGTATCATTCTTCTCCAGCGTGCGAGAATACGAGTTGTAAACTGAGAGTCGAAAGTCGAGAGTTGCAAGAGTTGCGAATTACAAGTTACAATTTGTTGGCGATAAACATTCGCGACACAAGCGGGGATGTAAACTAACACATTATCAGGTCTCATGTGGGTAGGCAACCAAGAGTACAATTTGTATAACTACAGCGATAAATAAATATTTAAAATCAGGTTGTTTAAGCGCAGAGTAGGGATTTTGGTAACTAGTTATTCTAGGTAAAATCTGTGCGCTACCACGCATGCGCAAAGTAAACAAGTTATATTCATGCATTGTTCAGTGCACAATCTAAAATGAAAACGTAAACTCCCGACACTCTGGATAATACTCTAATACTCTTCGCGCCGGACGACGACACAATTACCATTCATTCGCCATCCTGCCGAGCGCTATCCCGATGTTGTCCTAGTGCCCCATCATTGTGCCGGCGATATACTCATACACGCGCGCATTAAACGTGCGCGTATGCAACATGCATATCTCGTTGCGTCGCGCGGTCGGACATCGCAGATATGCGGAAAAGTGCGCTCGACGTAATCCGAAAATTCCCAGGCTGCAGGAGAGCTTGCAGGCGTGTGCAGGCCTGCAGGATCACGGGAGCGCGCCGGGAGCCGGGACTCATGGGAGGCGTGCGCGCGATCGCTGTGTGTGACTGCCACAATGCGAAGACGAAATTTGCATTATTTTAACGCGCGCGTCGGCGGTATGTTAAATATGCAAATTTTCTATTTTCAGATATCACGCATGGACTCAACGGACACCATGTCACCATGTGTGTGTGGTGATAATCTTTGTGGGCACAAAATGCTCGATAATAAAGGAAATTTTAATCATTTTTAGACAAAACATGCGGCGATCTACGTCATCCTTAAAAATATCACATAACCTAACTTTTTGAACAATGAATACAGATGAATACAAGTTAAAACCATAAAAATTTCCAACTTGGTAATTGAAACGAGAAAATTTAAATTCCAGCACGTTTCGCCGTTAACAAATGTTAAAAATGTAAAAAAATTAAGAATCAGTTTTATACCATTGCACCAACGGTGCTGAAACCGGAGAAAAGTTTAATGAAGCTGTGACACCTCAATATTCACGCCGATATTATTTTTTTCCACCGTCTTCGTGCTTAATTCATTTCACTTTACCGCTGCTTCTTCCATGCGCTACGCGAATGTTGAAAATGTCGAAAATGTAAATTTATTCAATATCGCGTAGACTTTTAACATTTACAACTTTTTTTTCTTTTCCCTGTACACGTTTTACGTGTTATTCCAGGTTTTCCCCTGAAGATTTTCCTTATAAGCTTTAAGGAATTTAGATTTTTTCCTGTCGCGTTCGACGCGCGAAGATTATCAGATCCTTGATAAGGATGCGAATGTGACGTGAATTTTATTTGCTGATTACACCCGTAGTGGGCAACCGGTGCGCGCTCGGTTTAGTTTACTGCCGTCGATGGCACGATTTTATTTCTTTGTTTCGTTGTAGGCAGGACGAGCGATGAGATTTATTTATTCCGAACATGACTTACAATCACTGACGCCAGCAGCGGCGATAAAGTTTTCTTGTTGTCCGCGTTGTTCGCTCGTTTTTTGATTAGTTTCCTAGGACCTAGTTACGAGTTTCGAGGGACGAACTAAAAAAAATAATCTCAGGACGTCGTATTACGGCTGGTTTTCACACGAACGTATTCAGGATGCAGCAAAAAAAAACTTTTTAAACTTTTCGTTGACGCTGTGATTTTCAATTGAATACCTACTTGTTTTTTATAATAAAAAAACATTCTATCCGGATTACAGGTTATGTTATACTCAATAATGGATTTATTGTAGGCAACCAACCGTGCAGAAATGTAGTTATTGTGTGGGAATAATAAAATGTGTTTTTCCATTGAATTTAATGTATCATTCTCTGTTTTTTTTGCTTTGTTTCTGTGTTGTACGTTTGATAACACTTTTCAATTATTCATGTATACTCGTTAAACAATATTTTTCACAACTTTGTGTGTGTTTCAATTCGTTTTTCGTCGTAGTTATTGCAGTTATTGCAGCATTACAGTTTCAAGCGCGTTGTCTGCTTCCATCAGTGTCGATATAAACCGAGCGCAGTAAAATTCCACAGAAACGCAAATACGCCAATTATGCACCATAATTCTTTACAATATTCCAACGCGTCTAGAAACACTCTGCCATGAAAATATTACATAATACTAAAAATATTTATATTCGCTATGCTGAAATGAATATTTGGTTGCCTATTTATCGTAATGATTGTGTATAAAAATTATAACCCTACTTTTTGTGAAACATAGTGTATGTTGACACAGATAGTTGAAATGCAGAGCAAAGCGGGGGACGCGATACGTGCGAACGCATTTTCAACGGGTGCAAGCTCCCCACTTTTTCCGCGCCACATTTTTTGCTCCCCTTTGGCGGAAAACGCCGCCAGCATAATAAATAACCGGCAAACAACGTGCAGCGCAACGCGAGTTTTAAAAAACTTCAGGTCCTAAACCAAAAAATTCGCGCGGCCTAAAAACTGAAAAAATGAAAGCATCAGAAACCAATGCGCGGATGTAAAAAACAAAATAAAAATGAAAATGTGAGCGCACATTTCGAAAATGGCGGTCGCTGGAATAACAAGTGAGATGTGAAATGTTGCAATACGAGCCTACTCTCGCTCTACTCTGTAGCAACACAGTCTAGTTACGATGGCGCCGGCACACGCCTTGCCGATATGGTAATATTTATGCTTCGTTACGCCACTTCCGCTGGCGGCCATGACACATAACTTCGCATTACGCCCGCAGGCAAACAGGCGCAAGTTATTTGATTCATAAAACAGATTTTTAATTTCACCGAAAGTGCGAAATTAAATTGATCAACGTCATTTCTTCTTTTTGCAGGTTTTCTAAGGACGAAACCATCGAGTGATCGCAGTGACGACTCCGGTGGAAATCTTGGCATCAAAGACGTGACATTTGCCCTTCGCTGGATCAAGAACAACATTGGAGCATTCGGTGGAGACCCTACACGGGTTACAATCGTCGGGCACGACACCGGAGCTGCCCTTGTCAATCTTCTTTTCGTGTCACCATCATCAAAAGGTAAAAAAACGCTTAAAAATAAACTTCGTTGATTTTATTAAACTTTCCATCCTTATTATCAATACTATAGTATTGTTAGGAGATAAGTTGACGATATTTATTATTAATAACATATTTGTGATTTCCGGTGAGTTTTCCACGAATCAATTTCAATCACTTCCGTCACTGTCTGCGTGCTGCGGTGGCGCGTGAGACCATAAATAATAAACAATCGAAGCGGTTCGTAAGTCCATAATCGTGTTATGGAAACCTCGGCGGAAACTTTTTATGACTTATTGATATCGGCGTATTCCGGATTTGTGTTTATTTATATTTATTTCCCACCGAGCCACGACGTGGAAGTGGATGTGGCAGAAACGCCGTTTTTCGCAAAAATACGGAAGCAATGCTCAGATCTCAGATTCGTCCACTTTTTGGCGTGCTTTTTACGCCGATCTGCTGATATCTCGTGTTGCTGTAACGCGCAAATCCGCCGACGGAATTGAAAGATATTCGACGCACCGAAAATACAGTTATAAACGTCAGTAACGTGCGAGGCGTAAGAAATTCGCAAAACCTTTTCAGTGAACCTCGGAAATATTTTCGTCGATTCAGCTTGATTCGATGGATGGATTCCATTAACTATTCAACAAAAAAAATGATACTCGCAAAATGGCTTCTATTAAAACTAAATTATGACCGGAAGATGTCAGCACTTTTGCTCACATTAGTTTTGTAGTTTTTTACTTGCAATTTTTGTTGAATAACGTCGAAATTTCACATTATTCAAGCGTCCTTTGTGCCACAAACTAAGCCATGACTAGGACGAAATGTGTGGACCAACGCGACGATGAAATATGAACTTGTTGATTCGATTTATTTTAACGGCGACCGCGCGCACGTGAGTCGTAAATAATGCGGGATCCGCTTTTGGACATCCGACACGCTGGTGTCAAAAAAGTGCCCAATTTGTTTGTTTTTCTATTTATGTTTATCCATATTGAAATAAGCCATGCACACATAAATCATGTAACGATAGTATCACGCAGATAGTTTGTTTCCATCTAGTGTAAAGTTCCGAATGATAAATATCTACAACATCATTTATAAAACATGTTCACTTCGGAGTGAAATAATTCGATTCCAAGCTAACTTTTCGTAATAAAATAAAGTTTAACTCATTACAAATGAGATTCTAACCTCCAATCCTATCGGCGCTGTGTCTAACTGTAGAACTTTACAACTATTATTGCAAAACCCACCACTCAGCGCGCAACTAGAAAGTAGGCGAAATAATTTGCATCCACTTACCGCCCGCATCTCTACCAAACTTCAACCATCTCGGTCACTACGACCGCCCTGATAGCACTCTCCCCGAAAAGGTGATATCCGTTTCGGCGACCGCATTCGGACACTATAAATGCGTTCGAAGCAATTACATTCCTGCGGCGGCTGCGACAGTCCCGGGCATCGGTTACGTGATGTCTGGGTTGCCTAACGCTGTCTCACAACGACCGCTACCAGTTGCCTCATTCGTTCACGACGCGCGTTCGGACAACTTGAACTTAATGTTGTTGCCGCCCTCGGGGGAACGCGGAATGTCGAGAAATGTTAGAAAATGCAGAGAATTCCGCCGGAATTTCGGAGTCACATCATCCGGCAGAGGAAATTGCGGTGGCGATACTGTCTATTTGCGAGTACACTTACGGCTATACATTTTGAGGTTATTTTCAACTGGAACTCCTGCAAATATATAATGATTTATATAAATTTTCGCTTACAGGTCTTTTTCGGCGAGTTGTACTTCTGAGCGGAACAGCGCTGAGTCCTTGGGCGACGATGCACAATCCGGACGCTTTGCGGCAAACCGTCGGCGAGCAAACTGGTTGTTTGGCTCCAGTAGTTGCCACCCCCACACCGGGAACTGCCAGCTCAGATACAGAACAACCTAAGGACGCCAAGCTGGACGCTGCACAAACAGAAAATAACAAAGACATCGCATCCTGTCTACGGTCTAGGTAACTATCACGTTTTTCACGTATTTTTACGTAGTCTGATTAAATTGAGGTTAGGATTCGTTTCCGCAAGTTGCAACATACTATATACATATAGATATCGATAGTTTTTAGTTTACACTCTTTGTCTCCGGGTGATAAATTAACTTTACAAGTTGAAAGTTAAGACACTTGGACGTCACGTCCGCTCTCTTCTTTCTTCCGCCACGACTTGTGCCGGCGTCGGAAAGGGGCAGCTCGTAATTTACTCGCGTTATCGACACTTTTACGGCACGTACACGTTCGGTCTCAGTTGGTCGCGTTTTCCTTGCTTTTCAAACGCTTCCGCTGTGTTTTGTTGCTTGTTCTTCTTGTGTTTTTTATTGTTTTCTGTGTGCGGCTGTCGTCGGCGGTGTTTGTATCCGGTCGCAGCTCGAAAGCGCGCAGTTTATTGCACAGAGGAACGTATGAAAGTGGCAAGTTACTTATATTACACTTATATCGCACTTATATGTGCGTTATTATCGGCGGGCGCGAAGAGAGAATATAACACACATACGATAATGCTTCGTGGCGCGTGTTCCAACTCACGTTTGGTGTGCTTTTACGCCGCGCGCGCCTCCATTATTATCGCGACATAATGACGTTATCCCGCTGCGCGCAACGTAAGTGCAATAGCGAGATTAAATTCCATTCCATTTCTTGCAATTCGTGCGATTTTTCCTCCTCCAACTGCTTTCTTAAAAGTACCTACTAAAACAGCGGAATTAAATTCATCACAGCTTAGACATATGTTAGTCCATCTAAAATGCACTCTTCTTATTTAAACATTCGTAAATTCTTACTTAGTACATAATTAATTGAAGATTCTTCCGAATGAAGTAAAGTTTGCAAGTCAAACATAAAATTACATCTGAATGTTCTTGGTTATGTTGCACAACCTGATGCACATTGAGTTGCCTAGCGCAATGATGATAATTCATGTCTTGTTTGAGTTTGCCGACTTTCCGCACCCAAAGATACGCGCACGCAACTGCCATTATTACGACTTCCTGCCTCGGTTTAACGATTCCGTGTCGCAAAGATAAATAACTAACTACGCGTTAACTGCATATCCAATAATCGCTAAACTTTAACTAGTTAACACGCCAACTAAACGTACGCCATCTCACGAGAAAAATATACAATTATAGTTTTGTGTTTATATTTTGTATTTTTTATTGATAAACAATGACGATTTGGAATATGTAATAGATTTTATAAATGGCAACAATGAACGTTCATGCAGGACAATACAAACCAATTGCCTCATGTTTTTTCTCTTTAATCCATTTGCATTTAGTACTTTGCATTTTTAATTTCACGCAATAATCCCATTCATATACCACATCAGATATGTGGTTATAGTTATGTACGCCCATTGCAAGCAAATGTTTAAATTTATGTCGCGCTACAACTACAAATTTGTAGTATTATTCTAATGCGAAACCCGATGCATGCAAAGTACAAAATGGCCGCCATTACAAGTAACAACGACGAAAATTGCACAAATGGAAATTTTGTAGGATCGTATAATGCAAGCAATCGCAAAAAACTCAAAGGTTCTCATCGAGTGCACACGCACTAATTGTTCAATTTTTTTCATATTCGTTGCACGTAGAGATTGTGCTTGGAGCGCGACTGCAATCAAGCACTGACTTCATCGTTCATCGGGTTGGGTTGCACTTTGCAATGTTTGCATTCGAATTAACCCATTTATTTTTCCGCACGCGCGCTACCCGACTACCCGCGATTGAATCGAAGTCGGAATTGAAGGATTGAATAATCGAAGCACGTCGCCTGCATGCAGAACACCACACTGACATTCTAATTAACGAGCGCTACATGTGAACACTGCGGAACCATGATTACTCAAGCGTAGATTGCATCAAACCCGCCAAAAAGATACAATTTTTAACTACTTTAAATTTTATTGTTTTTTTTTTTTTTTCTATTACAGACCACTACAAGCACTTTTAGATGTGCGGTTAGAGACAGTTCGTTTTATGCCAAGAATAGCCCCCTCGTTACCGGTAGACTCCGAAACACCAGATCCGGCTTTTGCGATGGAACACGCCAGCGACAATTTCATCACCTGCGAAGTACTGCTGGGCACGTCGACGACGGAGAGCTACAATGATTTCAACGCTAACGACATCCAGTATGGCTTCGAAGAAGACCAACGCAACCGTGTGCTACGGACTTATATTCGCAACGCGTACATTTATCACCTGAACGAAATTTTCTCAGCCGTACGCAACGAGTACACCGACTGGGACAAGCCCATTCAGCATCCCATCAACATCCGCGATTCTACAATGGAGGCCCTCAGTGATGGTCATACAGTGTCACCATTAATCAAAGTCGGCTATTTGCACGCACGGCGAGGTGCAAAACCTACTTTTCATTTTGGATATCAAACTAAGGATGGAGACTATCCACAAGTAAGTTATTTGTGTAAAAGTATTTTTTAACGAAAATAATACTTTTGCTAATTGAATGCGAACGAATTGAAGCTTTTATCTTCTGTCTGTTCGGTCCCAGACGGGAATTAAACGTTGTCTCAAGTAATCTAGAATAATCTAAATCAAATACGCCGTCAGTATTTAACTTGTGCGGGCGCTGGCGGCTTCTTTAAAGCGTCGATCGCGCACATTGATTGATTCAAATCGCGTGGATTATATTTTCTCGTCTGCGCTTTGAACCACGGCCACGACCCGAGAATCTTGTTTGCGAAAGATGAGGAGACCAAGCAAGACGACGTTGAAAAAACAAGGCTTATGTTCACGAACGACGTGTCCGCACGACTTGAAAGCGAGATGATCGTTTAATCAAAGTCAAAGCCGGGATTAAACCCTCATACTGCGGACGCACTGAGGAATTACAATGTAATCGATGTTTTAATTCAATTTAAATTCTTTTCCTAACTTGAATTCTTTGTTCCAATGTTTTTAACCCGATTCGAGAGTAATGTAAAATATATATTGTGTGTTTAGCGTTTGGGTAGTGTACGTGGTGAAGACTTGTCGTACATTTTCGGTGCCCCGCTGGTCGGTGGCATGCCGAACTTTCCGCAGAACTTCAGTCGGCAAGACATGGGCGTCGCGGAGGCGGTGCTCAATTTCTTCACCAACTTTGCGAAGAGCGGCGACCCCAACGCGCCCGGCATACAAAAGTCAGACATGCCTGATTATGGCACCACCAGGGAGAAAACTCGATATAAAGGGATCACCTGGGATCCATATGAAGTTGGCACACAGTATTATCTTAGCATAGGTAAGTACAAATTAATGCAGGCAAGTTATTCACATGCGCATAATGTTAATCTGAGCTTCAATATGTTTGTGACACTTTCACGCATTAACCACCCAACCAATTTTGATAAATTTAGGTACGGAGGTATTTTGGATCAGGGAAAATAAATAGGCCACTTTTTACCGCAATTATATAATTTGATGGTTGTTAAATAAGGGTTGAAAGTTGGTATGGAGATTCAATTATGGTTATAGTTGCATAATTCACACTAAGATGGCGCTAAAAAGAATTTTTAACAATTCTAGGTTCTTTAAAATCAAATTAAAAATTTTATTGACGAATTTGGCACATATTATATTTAAGAAACAAGAGAGCAATTAATTAGACTATTTTCCTTAATAAAGTCTACACAAACAAGGTCGCGGGCGCAAGTAATAATATTGAACTGTTGTTAATATAAACATAATTAAGTACGAAATTTAATATGGAAGTAATTACTCTTTCGCCTATGAAAAAGTAAATAATTAACACAAAATATGTCTCCATCCATTGTACTCGTACACTAATTATTCTGCTCTCGTGTCTGAAGCACAAACGAGCATTTAATAAGTGTTCAAGTGCACTAAAACTCGTGCCGCACTTTCCATGTAGCCATGCATAATTTTAAATTGAAGTGCATGCATGTTTTTCAATTTGTGGACGGCGTATACGGGGTACAAAACACGCCAACCACCGCAGAACGGAGTAGCTTCTATGCCGACGGCGGCGGCGGCGGCCGTAAAACTGTCCAGTGCCTCGTAATTATAATGCACTTTTGCGCATGACTTGGTCACCGTTTTTATCCTCCTGGTCCCTGCACACACACTTTTTCTATTTTTTTCCTGCATTACGCTAGTGTTAACTAGCTGCATTAACAGTCTTTATCATTAAACAAAGTAATAACAATTTTATTGCTGGAAAATACAAAAAATATGTTTATGTTAATTATATAAAGTAAATATTAAAAGATTATTGGTTTTTTCGACGTAAAAGAAGGGTAGTGATCAATTTAAATTTTAAATGAAACTGAAACAAGCGATTGCTATTATTCAGAGTGTGATGAGAGTGATGAGTAAACGTTGGTTGTGCAGGTGTATTTCGGAGGGCGCAAGAAGCAACTGTTTGAACGGCACAGCGCGGCGAACATCATTCGACAATTTAACTGTGCAAACATACCAAAAACCATTCGAAAAAGTACACATAATATATTCTTGTTTACACGCGTTACGCGTTACCATCAGCGTCATACCAATATAGTTATATTCTGCATACATCCAAAGCTTTCGCACACATTCATTACTTTCAAAATTTCGACAACGCAGAAAAAAACGCATAATAATTACACTCACAAATGAAAAACATCGCAAATTGATTTCTTCCATCATGTTTTTAACCTCTAACATCGTACATAACCTAAATGTCAGAGGAGAGAACGTTTTTTCACTTGTTTACTTCGTTTCGCAGGGCGTTTCTTTGGACTACGTTACGTTACATTAAAGTTCTTCCCTGCAGCTACCCACTGCTTTTTGCAGCTTTATTTTAAGATGTTGCGTGTTTTGTGTGGCATGTCGACATGTATATATGTGTGAGTGTGAGTTTAAAGTGTGTTTTGAACCGGAGTGGCGGTCGATTTAAGTCCTCCTCGAGCGCAGTAATTCGCGTGCACCTTCAGACCCCTTGAAACCTTGTTTTTACGCGCGCTCGGAGAAGGAAAGCGACTAGAGTGGATTTTCTAGACTTTGGACTCGAGATGTACAACTGTGACTTTGAGAGTTTGGATTAATGTAACGTGTTTATATTTTATATCCTTTTTTGTAATCAGTGCACAAATGAAACCACAAAAAATGTGAAACACAAAATAATTAATCAATATTTTTTTTAAATAAAATAATTAATGTGTAAATAGAAGCGACGCGGTGATTAATCAATTTGTTACAGTTATTAAACGTATTCGAATGCGCTGGGTTGTGATAGTTTGGAGTGGTTTTCGACGTTTGCACCACGCTCACCGCCACGATACGTAATTTGTATTTTCGCAAGCATTGCGTGGGCGCCCGAAAACTATTTATCAGGTCGCCCGGTGCGATTAGCCGCTGAAAAAGAGCAAACGCACCGAACGCGTCGAACACTGATGGACGTGCGTTACAAATTAATTTCACCTCCGCGGATGGATGTTGGGAATATTTTTCGGCGCGCGTCGTGCGCACCGAAATAAATCAATCAGTGTAACACACGAATAACACTCGCCACTACTCACAACAATGTAATACTGCTGGTTCACAGAATGCTTCACATTCAAGAGTTAAATAATTAATATTGGCAAACAGAGACTAATTGATTTGGATATTTTTGCATTGAATCTTTAGTGATTTTAATGTTTAATTTGTTGCAAATATTTTTGTTGATGTTTGTAATTTTTCTGATTGTAGCCTATATATAGCAGATTATTGTATTGTTGTTTGGATGTTGTGATGTCGATTTGCGAGCGGGCGTCGAGTGGCAAACGATCGCTCATGCTCGTTGTTGTGTTACGGCTGGTTGCTCGCATCCATGCAATTCGTTTCTCGATCTGTTGTTGCGGAAATTTACGTCCAAATAAGACGGGCAATAGTAATTATGTTTGTGCGCGCAAATTGGCTCGCAATGAGTACGCCAATTTGCTAACAAATGTTAAAAGTATTTTTATCGCCATTTTTACTCGTTTCCATGTCTTCAATTAGTAGAAAAGATTCTGTATTCAACAACCACATTTCACAAAAAATAAGAATAAGATTAACTTAATATTTAGGTACTAAATGTTTTATTTGATTGTCGCGTAAGTTAACTCAAAAGTTTTTATTCATTTCTGTTTTTTAAAAGCTCTCCAAGTCATAATAAAACGAAAACGGCGGAAATTTTCGTTTAAGAAACGCTTAGACTTTGCTGAACTTTTCCCGAGACGGTCAAGTGGCCATCTGAGGAATCGAAAATTTCCCACAGCCGCAGGTTTCCTTCGGCGTCCTTTTTATATCCTCCTTTTATTCCGACGGCTTTGCCTCGCGCACGAATGTACAAATTCAAATATAAACCTCGTTTCGTCCGGTGCGAGTGCGGCAGCAGGTACCTATGTTGGTTTAGAGTTTAGACTCGCAGCAGCAGCAGATAAAGCAGGGAAAAAAAGGTTCCCAGGGTTGTAAACGGCGTTTGCGGCCGTGCGCGGGAAGAAAACTTTTATTTCCGTACTTACCGAGGACGAAACATTCGGACCCGGGGTTTCGAATGTTCCGAATCATTTTGAATGCATAATGTCGTCCTTTTTTTCGTTATCCTTCGATTTTCACCGCTCCCTGGACGACCAAAACACAAACCTGAGAAAATCTCTGCGGGACATCTTAAAAATGTTTGTGTTTTTATTTTAGCTTCACATATGTTGGGTACAGATTAAACATTGTAAAAAATATATAATTAGATATAAAGTTATCACGTTTAATGAGGGTATTACACGTTTGGCTAACTTTACCTCTAATTATATCACATTTTGGAGCGTAAAACTCGCCATCATCATTGATTAACATCCTCGTTTGGAATAATTCGCCTGCGGGTCCTTTACCTAAACGAACAAATTAGGTAACCGGAAGTCCGTACGAGAATGAAGCAAAGATGCATGAAAATCACAGCGTTACCTTTGAGGGGCAAAACTGCAGCAATTTCGTAATATCAGCGTGTTTCAACGATGCTCATTTAGGGTCGGCAACAAAATGGCGCCCGAAAGCAAACATATTCGTTGAACCCGCCGGCAAGGAATAAAAGCACCATACGAAAAACTAAAACTAAACGGCGAACGTTGCAAGCAGTAAATAATAGTCAAATATAAATATGAGCATGAAATGTGAACCGTTTTCCGGCTGGCTTTCAGACTATTTCAGACTGAAGCTATTCGCCAGTGTTTTCGTTCGTTTGCGAGAATTTCCGCGCTGGATCTCGGTTTGTTTACACAAGCAACATTCTGCACAGAATGATGAACATTGCACACATAATGATCAACATTATTCCAACGATTTGTTAAATACAGTGTGCGCATTTATGTTATGACTATGTGAACAAGTGGAATTCTTTTTTGGTTTTAGTATAGCATCTGTGTAAATATTGAACCGTGATTAGCGATGCAATTAACAGTCGATAAATTTTGCTACAAATATTCAATTAGTAATGCGTATGGAAATTTTGATGTTACCTTTGAACAAGTTCAATGGTCCACTAACGTTTTGCTTCAATTGGCGTATAATTTATGCACCCACCGCGCTCCACGGTAAACGGTCATTCGAAACAATTCCCTAGAACACCCAAAGCCGAAGCAAAGCCAATATTGAAACGGCGCGAAAGCGAGAGTGAACTACATATTAAAGTAATGGAATGGCCCGCCTGAGGTAACATTGTGTAATCGGCAAATCGTCAGACAATCTGCGCGCCCTGGTGGGGCGCGTTTCGTATTCCTATCCGGCGGCGACGACGGCGTTCGGGGATCTGTTAAGTAAAGGGATGTTGGATGTACTATGAGGTCTTGTAGTAAAACTATGCGTGGAGCCCGCCAGGCGCTCGGGTGGCTTAGAACGTTTCCCTCCAGCAGTAGAAATTCGAAACTAAACACGGCGGAATTCCAACACGAAAATTGGATTATCAACGTGTTACGAACGGGTCTCATGAGACACCCCCGACTGAGGGTAGAACAGCGTCGACTCGGCTTCGCACTGCGCCGCTGATAATTATTTTAAATTAGCATTTAATATTAATTATTGCCTTCGAGGTGGGTTGTGGCAAACCACAATAGAATGAATACACAAATTGAAGTCAAATCTATGTTAGAGGTTAGCAATTTAGATATTTCTGATTTGATATGAAGAAAACTACGAATAGGTATCGACAGAAACGGGGAGAAATAGAAATTCGGTTTTGAGATCCCAGGGTGCTCGTTAAATATTATTAACCTTGCAATACCGGAACAAGCACCTTCCTATGCGCTGGCGTCGAGGGAGCGACATTCGCGTTGGATGCTTCGACTTCCGGATTTGCGAGTTGCTACCTCAATTGCAAGTATCGCATACATTCATACATATTCCCCAAACGTAGATTTCGTGTGGATTTCAATACCAGTCATTTTACAATTCGGAATATTCTATGACTTGTTCCAAACGCTTCTACATTCAAAAGTTGTAAATCGATTCATGGTCACATATCGTACAATAAAGGAAAGCGGATAAATGGAACAATTTAAATATATTCATGCGTTTTGCTATTGTTAATGATTTAATTCGCAATTTTATGAGAGTCTGTCATTTGAGTATATGTAGTTGAATACGACCGAAGCATAAACAGTATAATCATAGCTGCGACGCGAAGCTTAGAGCCTAAGCCCGCAAGCCGTTAATTTCTTGCACAAACAGAACTCGACGCAAACACAAACACAAGAAGCTCGGAAGCGCAGCTAGATCGGCTCTAAGTTACACATCCACAGCCTCGCCGTCTCGCGCCTTTACCATATTCCTCACGCCATAATGTTACTCAGACTACTCGTTCCCATATTCCGCCATATTCGCAATTCACGCCCCTGATAATACGCATGCACATGGCATATATTCTACTTCTGTGTCTCACACTCTCGCACAAGTCTGGATACATGATGATACATGAAAGCCCCCAAGGCTAACGGAAGCAACGCGAAGCTTCGCTCGTACCCAAAACAGAAACAAACACACATACACACATGTTTTTGTCTCCTGACTTACTAGTTTTATGGTATATGTGCAAAAGACTCGCTGGGTGTACTTTTGTACTTTGCAATTTGGAATCCCTTCTGCTCTTCGCGAGTTTCGCGTGCCTCTTGTCCGATGATTAGCGTAGCTCTGGCGCTAATGCCGCACAACTATGAAGCCAAACTAACAAACAAACGCCTGAACAATCGCCGCGTAGAGGGCACAATGGGTACGACGACACGTCGCTCTTCAAGCTGGCGGAGACTAATATGGGGCGGCGCAGGAGGCGCTCGTAAAAGGGGGCGGTTTGTGTGGACGGCACAATAGTTAAATCGGATTAACTTATTAAGCAAACTATTTTATTGCTTAAAGCTGGCGTCGTAAACAGTAGCCTAGGCACACCAGAAACGCAGTCTATGTATGTGTGCGCATGTGTGTTGGACGCAACAAATAAACGTTTTATTGTAAGCTGATTACGAGCTTAGCGCCTTCTCGCCAGCTACGATCGAACAAGCCGAACGGCTTCATAACATGCATAACAATGATGCATGCCTCTAAGAAGGATTTAGAGTTTGTTCAATTCTAAGTATACTAAAGCGAATATTTTTGATTGTTTGCAGCGTTAAAGCCCAAAATGAAAAGCCACTATCGGGGTCACAAGATGGCCGTCTGGCTTAACCTCATTCCACAGTTACACCAACCCGGTGATGAAGACGTCAGTATGCGGCATCATCATTTTCACGAAAGAGAACCACATTATTATGCGGGTAAGTTTAGTTTAATTTGATTTAATGCCTTAGAAAATTTAATAATTTTTAATTATTTGTTTTAAAAATAGGTGCTGTGCGTGCCGAATCATTCACACGTCTTCCACCACCATTACACCCAGCATCAATGACGGATCCAAGAGCAAATGGAGGCAGTACTGATTGTCCTCAGGCGTCATCAACATCAACGGACGATTTGCTGGATCTAGATGTTGGGGATGAAGAGGATGTTACCGAAGAAGATGGCGAACTGCTGCAACGGCTTGCAACACGCCATTATTATAGCTACACTGCAGCGCTTGGTGTCACAGTTGGTGTTGGTTGTCTTCTACTTGTTCTAAATATGCTCATTTTTGCTGGAATTTATTACCAACGTGAACGGGACCGTCGACGGCAAACAACGCAAGGTCGTGCATCACGTTCGTCTTCTTCGTCGGAGACTATTCAAATGTCACAACGTATGAGTGGGACGCCATGCGGTTCCCTACGTACTTCACCTGTCACAAGTCGTAGAGAAAAGGATAAACCGCCGTGTTATTCGACAATGCCACGGTGTGCGCACGCCAATTGTAGCACGGTATGCGAAAACAAAAAGGAACGTCCGTTGCCGCCAGTGCGGACGTCTAGCAATCCACCAGCTAGCGGCACTATGAAGAAACGCGTTCAAATTCAGGAGATATCCGTATAGCAGGAGGGCAAGGAGTGCCAATCGGGCACGCTGCATGCGCGTCCAGATGTCACTCCGGAGCACGAACTCTACGATTGCGATCTGGTGTCGGTGCAATTATAGGGTGTGCTAAGCAAAATCAAAACTTTGATTTACATTGAATACTAAACAATGAACAAATATAACCTCAACTAAAACCAACACATAAAAACACTGGTTATTTGTAAAGTGTAGATTAAAATGGCGGATGTTTAAATACTGAGTGTTAACGATGAGTATAGTGTAATGAAAATTTTCCATGAAAGTAAATTTGAATCGTTTTTCAACCATATCACTGGACACAAGTCAAAATCTACAATTAATTTCTTTGCGTTTTGCCAGTGACGAAGACAATGAGTCCACCACCACCAACGGAATGGTTTCCTCCTGCACTGCACCGAAAATCGTGCGCTTCGACGTTATCACCGCAAGATAAATGAACCCGACGCATTTTCCAATTGGAAAACTTCAATGGTCGGGCGAAGAGAGCGATGCAAATAAAAATGTATTCGTGACCGGCTGCCACTCCACACTCCCGATGTCTGATAAAATGCGAATGTGCGCGCGAAGGACATTATCCGGTTGCGCGCCGGAGACGTAATGAACGGACCGGAAATGAGAGCGAACAAACTATTAGTTATCCAATGGAGGAGCGGAATGACAGCGGAACGTAAACGATCCGACCGGTCGGACGCGAAAAGAGTGCCAGAAGAAAAATGCTCGAAATGTAATTATCCAGGGTTCGAGAGTGCTGCGAGGTGCAACCGGAGTTTAAAATTGAGAGGAAAGCTGGATGATTTGCATGAACTATAATTCGTTAGGATGAAAACCTATGCGGATGCAAGCAAATGAAATGAAATTGCGTTAACACAACATTTTTGCTGATAAATTCAAAAATTCGCGTGGAAAATGTAACATTTTTGTGTCGTTGGTCCAATTTTTTCGATACACAGGGTTTGGAATTTATTTCCTTATTTAGAGCATTAATTACAGAATATCAACATGAAACTTAAACTTAAAAAAATGGCATGGTGTCAACATAATAAACATCAACACTGCCTTTTTTTACTTTTCTATCTATATCTGCAAGAATTTAAGATTTTAGCAATTTTAGAAGTTTTTTTGTCATTAGTAAAATGTAAAAAGTAAACATAAATCGTTGAATATGACAGATTGATGAAAACATGTACGTTACGATAGTCAAATGTAAACATAAAAGAAAATCAAACAACATGTCCTTCGACGACATACAAACAATGTGTAAAGTGTACATAGATAATTTAAGTCTTGAAATGTTGAAAATGTTTAAGCGCAAAAATGAATTGTGAAACTGTTATGAAAGTGGCGTGAAGATTAATGAGTGATTTGTCTTTTAGCAAAGCAAAGCAAAACAAACCTAAGAATGACTCGTGTTTTTATCTTATCTTGTAACTCTTACGATAAAAATTAAAATACTGGATCACTCGACCATGTGAAACTACACTACTTCACAGGATTGGAGCATTAAATAGCGAATTGAAATCGAACTTTGTTCTAAATAAGAAACATGAACCGATGTACCGATGTGTTTTGTAAATATTGACTAAGAAATGATCATATAACAATTTTAGACGCATTGTTTTGTTAGAAGTGGTACGAATCGGAAAACGATTAACAACTGTTTTTATTTGTGATCTTCTTGAATATTTTATTATTTATCCATAAAATAACTATACATAAACTATTGTCGTTAATGATTTTGTTGAAATGAAAGCGGAAGAGTTTACAATGTGACATATTATAAATATTGTTGAATATTTTCCATATATTATGTTCGATCGATTAAATCGACTTTGTAAAATACGAATAAAAGAACGTATGCCATTTTGGAAGTGTTTAAATTGATTTATCGTGTTTATAACAAGGGTAAGTTTGCCATTTAACACTCGACAATACTAACTAACTCAAACAAGGAATAATTTAATACAAATATGTGCATTCTAGCGATCAACAATGTCATCCCGTATCTCACATGTACACGATTACATTTACTGCCATTTACCTTATGCTGCATAGGTACTCCTTGATGCATATAAACAATTCACACGTGCAAAAGAACAAAATTTAATGCAAATTAGTGCATCCTAGCGCCATCTAAGAATGATTTAGGCAAAATACAGTAAGATGAGTGGGGTTCTCGTCGATTCGTTTCCGTCTATTCGCCCCCACAACTGTGGTTTCTATGTCAACATTCTCTGCGCGGCGAGACAAATTGAAAATATGATGTGAAAAACACCCTATAGCTTTTGAAATGATGCATTAGATTAAATTTTTTTACAGACACAGATCCAAAAGATTATGATTACATTATGCATATTCCTTTAAACCCTCTGTGGCCATAAAAACCATGGCATATGTTTTTGTTTTTCAGAGATTCTAGGGAGATGTTTTTCGAAAAATACGGAGTTGAAAAGATATACCAAAGATAGAGGAAATATTCACCTACATTATGTCGGCAAAATATTCCAGATTGGTAACTTAGTTCTCGGATACATTGTTTTTTACAAACAAAAATCGTTCAATAATGAATTTTAAAGTTAAAACACAATTTGTTTAATTATCAGTCTATTTCGCTTATCATCCAAGACAAAATAACAATAATTATGCAATTTCCAGTGTTCCTCATGTTGCTTACTCAATAAACACAAGCATTTTCATTCATATGTTACAAAACGTAAACCCACCTTCAAATTTCATCGTTATCATCATCAGAATGTTACAACAGCACGTCATTTGTATTCCTACACCTACACGATAATGCATTGGTGATTTCTATTACAACCTTTAGCAAATAACAAACAAAATCAATCCATAAAAATAATAATGTGCCGTGAGAGGTTCAAGTAATGTACTAACAATACATGTAGAGCACAAAAGTTTAGAGTGATAATGAAATGGAATGCATAAATAATAGTTTAGAAGACACAAGCAGACAAATGAAGGACATGTAAACCATTTATCAGGACAAATTCGCATCTTTCACTTTATGAAATGTTAAAGACTAGAAAGACGTACATTTACATAATAAGTTGAAATCGTTAACAACATTGCTGAACGCAAGCTAATTTCTTTGCTGTGGCGCAGTTTTAAAAAATATCAATTCTATAATATATAATCGGGCAGAAAATTAGCTTGCGTTTTACACATACATCTCTGTACTGTTTATGCAATTACTAAGTGAGTATCATGTGTTCGATTCGATCGTTATATGCTTGCAGATATTCCGTTTCCATTTTTCTATACAATCATCCGCTTCTTCATATCGTAGCAATTATTAAATTCTTAATTAATTGTTTAAGAATTAAAGAGTTATTTTAATATATCCTGTGTGTTCGTGTCAATTGCTTGCTTAAAGTGATCCATATTAATTTAATCAGTATGTACAAAACTAGATCTATTACAGTCAATATTAAGTTGATTAAAATGACTATTTCTGCTGACGTTCAAACCTTCGCATCAAGTTTGACTTGATGATGTAAAACTTATCAGAATTGATGTAAATCATGATTTCAGTGATGGAAGGTCACGATTCGAGGACGTACGTCGACTAAGTTTCTTCATTTGAATTTGTCGTATTTTACTAGTATGTACAAGTTAGCTTAATCGTTTGTTGTTTGCTTTGCGTGAAATTGATCTCTACGTGAGACTTCCATGATGCTAGACTAGATTAATATATTCTACAAATAAATAGCGAAAAAGTCGAAGAATTTGAAATTGGACATTAATAAATTATGTTAAATTAATATTAAAACTAGCCCTGGCGTTTTGATTCTCACAATGACTAAAAATAGAACATAAAATTCAGCTACCCGCATTTATAAATAGCTATAAAATAAATAGTTAATGGCACAAATAATACTGCAAAATATAAATAAATTAAGTTTAAAAAAATGAAATAAATATATCACAGGAGCTATTTGAATAACTTCGTCGTCTACATGGCACTTTTGGCCCTGCACAAAAAAAATGTCAAACGCAAAATAATGGTAACTAACATAATTAAATTATGACTAAACTTGAATTTCACTACAGCATTAATGATCTACCATCAGTCACTTCCAATGACACGCTGTGTCATGTTTTCCTTCCGCTTCTCAAAATAATTTAATTGGAAGTTACTTTGGTTCATTCAGACATTAGATAATCAACTATTCACCTGTCCTCACATCTCCAACATCATTTTCCCATCAATCATGCGACTATCGCTAGGTATCTAGTTAAATAGTTAAATATACAGTAGTATTATCACATGGCAAACCTGACAGTCATATACATAGCCATCTTATGTGTCAACTCTCTCCGTAAATTTATGAGGCAGGTATAAGTCATTATGTTATGATTATTACGCATTTCAGCGCGTTCTGTACACGTTGCACGCACTCTTCGTGGTGCATCACCTATATAACCAGGCAATTGTGGGGGGACAGATGATGGGGACATGTGTTAGCCATCCAAGGGTGGTCCTAGATACACCATCGAGACTTCCGTGTTGCCATACACAGCTGATACAGTTGGATATAATTTTTTATCGGGGAGACCTACAAATGAACAAAAATATATTTTTTTCCTTTCGAAATTTGTAGATTTTATGTACCTCTGAACGCAACACCCAAAAATTCGTAGTTTTTCTCAAATGATAATGTATTATCATCACAATCCAATATGACTCGTATTCGTTCACCGACCTAAAACACAAATGGGGTAATTACAAGTGATGAGGAATATTAAATGAATAACAGTTTGAATAATTAACTCACTTGATACTTAGGTGCATTATTCAACAATGGATAATTCCCCTGTGCATTCCCATTATGCAGCAGATGATTATCAACAAGATTCCATCCCCAGCTTTGGTCATCAGATCCTAATAGAGCAACATATCCATGGCATTGCAGTGGTGCATCTTTGGTAGCAATGCCAATAACAGCAACTGTGCCTAGGGGGCCCTCCCAAATCACCTCCCATGCATGCCGGCCTTGTTTGAAGCCAATTTTTCCGCGTGATGCGTCTGTGCTCTGTGCCACCGGATTGCGATGTAACGTGAAGCCGTTGGGCTTAATGTAAATGTTGCGCGAGCAGTCGTTGGGGTTCCATGAGTGATGGAAGGCGCGTAACTTCGCCTTGTGGGTCGGTACCGAAGCAAGCAGGTCGGACTTGAGAGCTTCTTCGGCAAGCTTTCGCGCACAGTGCAGCCGCCACACGTCGTTGTTTTCGTCGTTCAGGTAGCGATGCCACCGTTTGCAGACCAGCGCGCAGTTGCGCAGGTCGGCCAGGTGCAGGTATGAAAAGATCACCTCCAGCACGTTGATCTCCCCCAGCGGCCCGTCCATGGCGACGGCGGCGTTTCAGGTGGTCGTCGATAACATGGGGGCGCAATCCTCCGGCGACATGATAGACAGCAAACCAATGGGGGCACTTGCGGGCTGTTGTGGCCACTGGACCAGACCGACCAGACGGACCCGACGTCGCGACGCGTTTTGACAACAGACAAACCCACCACTGCTAGGGGTGAGCGGGGCGCATGTAACCAAAGAGGGTTGGAAATCTGACAGATGGATGACAGTAAGATGACAGTGACATTTCAAAATAATTTCGTAGTGTACACTTTACTCTTTAAACTAAAGAAAAACAAATTGACTTTAAAGTAAATGACATTAAAATGTCACCAAACACAATTTTCATTCATGATTATACCTTTTGGAATGTGATTGTGAGCGTTTGTTGTTGTTTGAGCAACGCACATGTTTTCACTTAAAATAACAAACTTACGCAGTTGACAGTGTGCTTTATGACAACTGCCATCAGGTGGCGCTGAATGTCAAAAGACAGCTGTAAACAAAAGTCGTTTAATTAGATTTTCGCTACATTCATGCACTATTTTATTGCTCTAAACTAGCCAAATGTATTTGTTCATTAATTATTTCTTGTATATTTAATTTGTACACTGTATAAGTGGTAAAGTTTAGAAAAGTTTACTGGGCGGGAAAATGTTGCGTGCGGCAGGCACATGAACTAATCCTTCGTGCGACGACGATGCCCACGTGAATGCGCCATCCAATCGCACGAAGCACTTTGTACGCGCTAAAGCTAAAGCTGTTCTCGTGCGCCGTGCACGAAAGAGCTGCACTTCGACGGGCCGTGTACGTGTCCGCGCAATACCAATTGGCATAAATTTTGCACCACTGGAAAGCCGCGATCGTCCTCTTGAAAAAGCGCCGTTCACGGAGAAAATGCGTGTGCGGCTCGCCTAGTTATTTCGCATCCGAATGAGCGGTCTGCCGCGTGCGCCATATTTGTCGTCGCGCTGCCCAGGCCGATCGGCGCCCGTGCGCGGCGAGCAGCGCTGAGGAGGCCCTGCCGGCCGAGCTTAAACGCGCCACGCCGTCAGCCCCCGAGAACCCCCGGAAGAGGACGCGATGGCGCACCAGGCCAACACGACCAACTTCCTCCTGCAGGACATGACCGGTGAGTTGATCAAGCCTATACACTTTTTCGGCCTTTTGGTGGGAAATTCACCGACGGCGCGCGGGACCTTCGCCTGCGCCGATATCGGTTACAATAATCGCAACGAATTACACCGATGTGCATAACGCGACGCGGTACAAATTTGCATAATTGCACGGGTAGAAAAGCGACGCCTTACGCCGGCTAAAAATAATCCCCGACCGCGGTTCGGCCATCGGGGTGCTCGCCGAGCGCGATCGGTGGGGCCGGGTTGTAAAATCGCCCTATGGGGTAATTGAGACTACTTCAATGCGTCGGAATTTCAACCCTTTTCGTTGGATCAGTGATCGGGTCTGCCAAGAACCGGTAGTCGATGCAGCCTAAACAATGGCTGTGAAATGGCACGGGAAAGTGTGAGTCTAGGCCGAAAGTGCAAGTCAACAGGAGTCGGCTCGAGAGGCAAACAAAACTCGGAATTCCGCAAGCGGCGAGAAACAAAACCAGCCAAGGTTGCTGCCGAAATTAATTCGCAATTACACCTCCACTCGGCTTGCAACAATCGACTAAACATTCATTCCGCACGTCGTACTAATCAATAGTTTATGATGTGATGCCATCAGAAAAAAACCTACAGACCGGAAACAGATTTTAAACAAATGAACATCGAATAACATTAGCAGTGATTTTAAGAATTCACAATTACATGTTGAATTCTTATCACTGAGAGAACAACTTATCGAGGTTTATAATCGTATTTTATTTCCCTCTATTTTGTTGTGCCACCTACGCAAGTGGAATTATCGTCTGATTGCATCATTACCACCATTTTCCAAACACATTCTACTAGTTTTTCGTTATCAGAATGTTTCCATGTGTGATGTGTGGTGGCTCATCCTATCATTAAACTTATACCAAACTTCCTTCAATAATATAATCAAACAACACTCACCCCCTAGCCCATCTTGAACATATCTGTCTCCAACCTTCAAATAAACAAACAAACAAAAATAAAACTTTTACAAGAGACAAAAAATCAAACAACATGGTCGCCGATGCGCATACTCGGCACATTTGGTAAGCGATTACCAAGTTATTATACAAATATGTCTGGATAGTAGCGAGTAGAAAATGATGTGGGACACTCATCAGCATTCGCTTGGGTGTTAAGCGTCCGATAGAGCATGAACCGTGTGTGCGGTGCGCGAGCATCATGAGACAATGGCGCCATGTGGTTTTTTTTCGGATACCGCACCGGCGACGAGGAAAACTGCGCATTATCACTGATGATAGATGTGTTGGGCTTGTTATGTAGGGACATATTGTTTAATTAATTATGAATATTGCGTGCTGTTTGTCTAATTATAACATTTACCAATGACATCATTCGAAATGAATAGAAATAATACTTTTATTAATTCGTGAATTCGTGCCTGTCTGTTACTTATTTTCTCTTTTCTCGTGTTTCTTAATTGTTTCTCTAAGATTCGTGATCCAAACAAGCCTAACTGGATTTTCACATATCGCACATTCTTCTCCATCCCCATCACGTCTCTAAATGAATGTCCTGCTTCTTGCTGGTATTGCTAATAAGTTCTAAAAGGCGCACTCGTCCGGTATGCCAATTGCTAACGACAACAGAACCGCCAGGAGAGAGAAAAAAACGCGGTTTTATTTTCTATTCATTGTGCACACACATCGCAAACAAGTCGGGCGCGCGCGCGCATTGTGTGTGCACTTGGTGTGTACGTACTCTTCGTATTTATTACACGGAATGAGTAACTAGTTTCGAGACGTTGGCACCTGGAGAGAACCTAGAAGAGACAACCTTGGGGCATGTTGCTTTCTGCGGATTCGTCTCGCTGTGAATGCATAATATGATTTTAATTAAATAAATAATCGCTTCGCTAGGGTTTTGTGTTTGGCGTTAATGAATTTTTGTTATTTTGTTGCAGCGGGACGGCAAGTGATAAAAGTATTGGCGTCCGACAATTCGCAGGTGCAGGAATTCATCGGCTCGCTGGCGAATGGCCAGCAGATCAAGCTGGTGAAGACGACTAGCGGCGGACAACAGGTTAGATGCATTCGGATCAAATTATTTTATGCCGCACTATTAATTTTCTCATTGATTAGACATGTTTCCTTATTACTTTCTTATAGTATTCGTTACGTTGATATTTCAAACGGAATTTATTAGTACATAGTTGGTGTAGTGGCGTAGTAAAATCTAATTCCCAATATCCAGCTTGATTAGCTTGGTTAAACGCATTATTAGTGCATTAATTACGTGTTTACGATGATTGATGGAGTTGTTTTTCACGTATTTCTTGGCTGAGACTAATGAGCACTCGAAGTTCGAAGCTCAAATAAAGAAAAAAAAAAGCACAAGCCACAAATTATGGCTTCTTGCCTATTATAAGTTTAATTTTAGGCTACGAAATAATTAAATTTGCATCGTTTTGTTATATAACGCAGTCTATTATTTTATTATTGATGTTTTGAGAGCGATGTATGCACACAGCTTGTACTCTCTAACTGCTTACAAGTGGGGTGATATCAGTGTGCAACTGAAAAAATACGCAAATGCATGAGCTGTACATACTTGTATGACTGGCGGTCGGCGGAGAAAATGGGCGACAACTCGGCGGCCGAGCACCTGCGACATTTATTCGAATTACATACGACTAAACAACGGATGGGAAGTTGTTCCCCAGTCGTTGCGATTGCGAACAAAACGCGCCGGAGCGCCGGCCGGTGGAAAACGTTACGAACGTTACAAACTCTGCGCGATTATCATAATTACATGTTGACATCTGTAATTACAATGGCGGCGCTTGCTTCTGTTGTTTCTCTCGTGTACAAGGATAACTAACAGCAGCTTTTAATAATTTATGTTTTCGAAAATGTCCCCAAAATGTTAATTTTAGAATATTTTAAGGTTAATGACATTTTGACATTTCTTAAATCATTAAAAGTAAATTTAGAAAATTGATAGGCGGAAGTAGTTGACTTGCTGGTTTTAATTGGTCGCAGAAATTGTTATCAACTTGGTGCTAACAAAGTTATGCTTGAACAGTTGAAATTGTCGCAGGTTTAGTATTGCGGGGTTAAACAAAACGATTGTTCGGCGTTTATCATCGATTATATCCCATTGTTCAGATGAAAAAATAGATGACTTCAAGCTAGCCTGAAAACAAAGCGAAATAATTTCGTTGCGCACCTTCGATACGAATCTGGGGTCCGCGCGCCGCGCCGACCGTGCGCGTAAAAGCTTAATTCAACTCTTTTTCCTTCGGCCTGTGACCGCCTTCGTCTCGGCGGTATCGGCGTGCGCGCCTGCCGCGTTTCCCGCGCGCTTCTTCTGCGCCTGGTCGCTTCGTTTTTCGAGGCGACGCACGGGTTTGTTTTTGTAGAACCGGTTGGGCGCGCCGAACCCAACACACTCGGCGACGCGACTCTCTTTTCTTTACTTTTCATTTCCTACTTTAATGCCGGTGAATTTTTGGCCATTTCGGTCATTTCTCATCATGGAAATGTGAGTGGGATTTGTGGACGATAAATGTTTTCATATTTCTCACTTAATTGATTTTATTTCACAGTGAATGATTAAATAGTTGTCGTGAAATAACGATTAATATTTTATGCTAACTGTGATAAGAACCGTTAAGCACTAATATTGACATAACGTTCATAACAGTGGTGTGCTTTAATTTGAATCTCATGATAAAATGTGTAGTCTTGAAAATTCATTTAAGTTTGAGAATCTGAGGAGCAAACTTTCGTGTTTGTCTCGGAAACTTGCTTAATTGAAATGGAAGCTTGTCAACGTTGCCGTGTTATCTTTCAACATTCCCATAAAACTAAAAATAGACACAAAACTTTTATTGCTTTTCATTATTAATTTATTAATTGTTATATTTTGTTTTAGACTTTAACAAGCGTGCCACAAGTGGTGAAAACTCAAAAACTTCTAACCACACGTAAGTTACGAACCAAATTGCAATTTAACTATGTTTATTGTTGATTTTGTTTATTTGCAGAAAATTTACCTGTAGGTGCAATGACTCAGGGAGTACAAAAATTATCCGATGGTCAATCGACGACAGTGCGTCGCTTGCAGCCGATCAGCAGGGTTAGTTTTCGCCGACCATCGATATTTCTATTCCTTTACTGATTGTCTTCATTTTTAAGGTTGTGCAAAGTGCGCCGAAAATTGCCGTACCTTTGTCACCACAAATCAAACATCGGATGTCGCCGACCAAATCGTTTCACACATCGCCGCCGATTTTGGATCACACGGGTAGTCGGAAACGCATAGAATCGCTGGATCCTTCCGATTGTGTGCCCGAAATGTAAGTTATTACAATTTGGTTTATATCGATTTGAACATTTTGTAAATTCTTATCTTTGCTAATAAAAAATGTCGAATTATTTTGTAGCAAACGAAGGAAAATGGAAAAAGCCGAAAAGGGCTTGCGGCACTTTTCGAGCAGAGTCTGTGAAAAGGTGCGCAAGAAAAAGGCTACCACTTATAACGAGGTCGCCGACGAACTTGTCAAAGAGTACACCACGCAAAACCCAGAAAAAGTAAGTTTTTATTACATAAAAATAAGAAAAATACTTACAACAACCGAAAACATTGTTTTATAATTAATTTTCCGAAATGTTTTTAGTACGATCAAAAAAATATCAGACGCCGGGTGTACGATGCGCTCAATGTGCTAATGGCGATGGGAATCATCTCCAAGCAGAAGAAGGAAATCAAATGGATTGGATTACCGTCTAATTCTGTTCAGGAGTGCATTCAGTTAGAGCAAGAAAAGCGCAAGAAAATGCAAAGCATCGGTATGAAAAAGAAGTATCTCCTGGAGCTGATCACCAACCTGATATCGTTCAAGAACCTCGTGACACGTAACCGTGAACACGAAGAGCTCTATGGCCGCCCGCCGGCGAGCTCCTGCATCGAGTTGCCTTTCCTCGTTGTCAAAACGGAAAAAGAGACTGTTATTGACTGTAGTATTTCGCAGGACAAGTAAGTTGTGATTAAAAGTAGGTGTGGTTAAATTAATTTTGATTGTAATTTTTAGGAGGGAATATATGTTTAATTTTAATGACAAATTTGAAATTCTCGACGATTCTGAAGTGCTCAAACAACTGGGAATGTTAATGGGTTTGTTAAACATAATGTAGATTTGAATAGTAAAGTTTTTATTTGATTTTTCTTATGTTTTAGGTCTGGATGATGGCACATGTGATGCGAAGGCATTGGAAAAACTCATGAACTTAGTACCTAGTGAACTTCGCGAATATGTTAAACGTAAGTTTAAAATTGTTTGCCTATCGATTATTCAATTAAATTGACTTTGTTTTGTAGAAATTGCAAATTCAGATTTGCATAAATTAGGTCCAAATGTGCTCGGCGACCCCCACATCGATTCATCCTTGCTGGACGAGGTCAACTCGCACCAGTCATCCTCGCCGGCGCCTGAGGACTTCTCTGACGACGACATAGACTCAGACGTGTCCGATATGTAAGAAGGCTGAACGTGCGGTGCCGGCCGTCGATTGCGTCCACGCGACATCCCTAAACCACTCCCGCCCCACAAGCAAAAGAAACACTACACACATCCCCATTCTCACAGTCACACACTATATTTACCAAAACACGCGTTAAACATATTTTTAATAAGTAAACGAGCCGCCTGGTCGCGACAAAGCGGAGCCAGCGGACATAAATTAGGTTTAAACTAAAACTTGTGTAACGGAACGAAAATAGGACTGAGAAGACAAAGTAATGAATGTTACAGTGAGTGGCATGCGATGCAGTGTGCGGGAAATGCCGGTGAAGGAGTGGATGAGGAGCGGCGCGATGCATGCCAGTGGGGGAGAAGAAAATGAATATTTTTTATATATGAAATGCATTAGATTCGTCTTCACAGTAGCACGCTTTTTCTACGAGAAACGAGCAAATGTTTCGTTCGACTTACAAGACAATAGTTAGGGGAACGGATGAAGAACGGAGAGGTACGGAAATGAATTTTTGCAAAAACAAAAACGCGCACCGAAAAAAGTACATTATTGTTTGAAAAACACTTCAAATGTATATTATGTTTTACTACTGGCTGTTCCATAAGTAAACGCCTCATATTCACACAATATCGTTCCTGACATTTTTTGATTATGATGGTTATGGAGTAGCCAGAAATTACCATTTAATTAATTTACGTACGTTGTTTGTCATTTATTTACGCTTTGAATTTTCTTATGTTGAAGAAAATTATAAAAATCAATTGATTTGTCTCTTGGTGCAAAATCAAATTTTGTAAATTTATCACCGTTTAATTTTTGAATCTTGTTTTTAGCTTCATGTTCGATCGGTAATCGAATTTGACGAGAGTAGAATGTCACCAGACGAAATATTATATTTTCATTAATTATCGCATATTATTACTTATTCTAGATGCATATTATTTTGTTCTAATAAATTTTATTGATTTGTACAAACAATGCAAGCCGCCAAACAATGTGGCGCAAAAAAAGGAAATTCATGTTAAGTATTTAAGTTTAAGCGCTTATTTTGATCGAAAATATCTTACCAGCGCAGCGTATCTTTTTATTGATTAGTTTGTCATAATTTTGTACATACAACTTATACATATATATTTTTGAAACCAATTGCATGTTGCAAATGGTCTGAGAACAGTCGTGGAGAGAAGAGAACACCTAGATGCGCTTAGGGGCAACTATTTATGATACTACGCGGTTAGATTGCATTACTGTCATTAATATTGAACCGTCGACCGGGAACGAACTTTGAATTCAAGTTTTACACGAAACAAGCAAACCAATATTTGTCCAGAACACACACTACCGTCGTCGCTTCAGTGCAACTTTTTGACCCTGAAGAGCTCCAAATTTCCTTCTTGCGTTTTGCCTTTTCGTAATATTTAGACATGAACAAAGAACTCATAAGAGGTTCGAACTTTGAGAAATTTGAAGATTGAAATTTTTAAAAAGTGATATTATCAAGTGCTTGTATAAATTACAATGTAAACAAAACAAACGTAACTAGCGTTGGTTAATAAGGAGACGACAGAGAGCTGGTCAGATTTTTGTAGTGGACCAACTATTTTTGAATAGCGTTTCGAGATGCGTATTTCTTCGCCCAATCTTCCCTAACGGTTACACCTTTTTCGAGAAAAACGAGAGTAATACAATAACATTGAGACATATTTGAATGTTCCAACAAACACATACAATAAATAAAGTCAACAAATAAAACACTAGATTTCATGTAATTTTGTTTACAGTTTTAAACCATATTAGGCAGCCATCAAACCATTATGAGGTTTGATGTTTGCGTTCGTGGTTGCCTGATATCACAAAATGGAAATGGAGTAATGAAATAATATTAATAGGTTCTTTTAAATTACATTATATTTAATTATAGTTGAGCTTATATACAAAATCAAGTCTTTCTTATTAGCTATCAATCATTCATAATCATCATTCATTTGTCTAAAATTGTTTTCATTTGCATATTGTCATTTATCAGGTAGTTTTGAGTCTTAATTCGCATGCCTCTTGTGGTTACATTCTACTCAAACTGCCTTTCCAATTGACAGAATTTCTAGGATGCATCGGTAACGATGACCGACTTCCATAAGTCTCCTCTTCGTAGGCCTTATTAACTTGCCCATTTGGACCATTGTCAAAGACGTCCTTGATCGGGATACTAGTCGTGCTGTTACGATGATTCCGGATGACATTATTGTTGCCGTATTCGTTCTTTGCGCCCAGTGTTTGCATATTAGACTTGCGACGTTCCGCCATTACGGAATTAACCCGGACCTCTAACGCCTTCATTGTTTCTTTGCCCATTGTCATTCGACGGCTCAAAATAGGAGTACCTGTGGTAAAAAATACGTTTGAGTAATACGTGGAGATTTTAAGTGAAACATTACCTCCTTCAGGGTTGGCATTCAATTTAGCAAAACGCTTCTTAAATGCGACGTCCAACGTGCCGATCTGTCTCTTCCTTTGCGCAGCTCGTTCCAAATTATGAATTGTTTTCCTACGGCCGATACGATCAGGGCCAGAACCGGAATCGTTTTCGTAGTCTCCATCGTCGATGCCCTGCAATCGCTGCAGTTGCTTGACGATTTCGACTGCTTGTCGATCGAGTAACGCGTTTGGAGACAGATCCTCTTTCTATAAAATTTCATCCGTTAAGTTCAATTTGTTTTTACATTTTGTTCAAAATAATAAAAGCAACCTTTTTAGAGCATCCAAAGTTGAGATCTGTTGATGCCAAAATGTGAGCCAAGGTACCGAAACGATGGAACAACATGGCCGTAAACTGGATCACCAGAATCAACGCGAAGAAGAACACAAATACCAGACCAATAGGTTCCAATTGAAGGTACTCCTTGCTGATGTGCACCTATAAAGAGATAATGCTACATTTTTCTGACCATTGACAAGTTACTTCAAAGTAGGTGAAGTTATAATAAGAGTGCACCACATAAATTAACCAATAGCACAAATAACACACAATTAACCATAAAATTAGAAACGTTAACAACGTTACAGAAGATACACAGATTGCTTTCTGCTTTATATCCGAAATATCGAAATTCATTGGGGTCATCATCATTTCGCCAGGGGGGTGAGAGATTTTGCGCTGCCAATTGAAGAGAATTATTTAATTTTGTGATTATTCAACATTTTTACAACAAATTTTGATGAAATGAAAAGATGATGATGAGATAATGATATATTTTGTGCTGTAATTTGTTTCGTTCTTAGTGATTAGTACCACAAAGTACCATTTGGTGATCTGTGTTACCATAGTACCACAAAAATAAGTGTTTACATTGAGTGTATAATATATTCACTGGTTTTGTGGCTGGTCTTGTGTGTTAATCACTGGAAGAGTAATTTGTATGTGATGACATGAGTTTTGATGCTTTGTATATATGTGACTGTGATATATTTTAAAGAGTAACCAGACTTCATTTGAGAAACACATTGTTTAGTACACAATAATTATTCCGTCCAATCCAAGGAAGTGTATAGACCCCCAGTGTGCCATCGCCATCTTTGTTTATAACGTTTCGAGTTCACGCGAGAGCGCAACATCGAAACAGCATTTTGCCGCCTCTAAATACCTCAGAAGTCTCCTCAATGTACGTAATATTGGTGCGTATGCCGAGCGGCCACTTAACATGGATCTGATCCTTATTAAGTTGCAGCAGAAACACGACCAACACAAACAACGCATTGAACATGAAGAAAGCGAATACCGACTTATTGCGCAGCTCGATGAGCTCGCGCGCGATCCGGGCCTGAAAGAAGAAGCAAAACGTGCGCGCGCACGATTAGTCCACATTTGCACTGGCAGGGACACATGATTCCTTCCTAGATCTGTGGAGAAATTGCTTTGCTTTCGACGCGCTAGCGATAACAGGTGAGATTTACGTGCGCGAATCATGTGATCCCTCAAACATTACCTCTTGTGTACTCTCGTCGTATGTTATATTTGTCTTGATGCCGAACGGCCATTTTACGTGCAGGTAATCCTTCTTCAGTGTCAATAAGAACACGATCAAGACAAATATAGCATTGACCATGAAGAAAGCAAACACGGACGAGTTTCTCAGTTCTTTTAAGTCGGACGCGATACGTGCCTAAAAACAAAACATAACCCAATTAACTTAAATCAAACTAGTGAAGTGCACATGCCTTTTCCTCCTTGTTCTCGTCAATTGGATACAAATATTTATCCAACAACTCCTTCCAGAAGGCGATTTCCGTTGAACTTAAGAATTCCACCTCTCCTTTCCTTAGATCGGGATCTTCGATCCAATATGGATTGATGAGATCGTCGCGTTTGTTTTGTGGAACTGTTGACATTGTTTCGCTATCGCTGTCTGACGACTCCTCGGTTGGATCTTCCGCAACAGCACTCAGATGATGATGATCTCCGCGGGATGAAGCCGACATGCTACGTCTGCGTGAAGCGTGACCCTGAGGATCGATTACCCTGAAACAAACAAAGTGAGTACACATTTTTTTTAATGCGGTTTAAGATTTACTTTTCAATGTGATCCAAACGTTTGGTCAAGCCTTCCAATGTATCGGCGATATGAATAAGTTGCGCTTTCTCATCGCCGGCTTTCTGGTGTGTGCATAACATAAATTTGAATAATCCAGCAACTGATAATTCAATGCTGCCTTCATCATCGTCGCTGGTACCTCCTCCTTGTAGGAATCCCAATAGTGACTTTTGTTTCGCTTTCTTTTTGGCTTCTTCCGCTTCTTTGCGTTGTTGTTCGAGTTCTTTTTTAGTTAATTTAACGGCGACTTCACGAGTACCCCAGGATACAACGTTTAGATTGATGATTGAATACAAAATCAGCAGGAGGTACATAGATGGAATTGACAACAGGTAAATAATACCCGGCACAATACACCAAAATTCTTGTGGATGGAGACACGCTGCTATGAAGAATGAACTTGTCATTGCTATCAAGAATATAGCAGATGGAGAACCGATGCCGTCTTCACGTAACTGCAGAGCGGTACCAACAATAACAGCCATCATGATCAAAGCATAGCCGGTGGATAATATCTGCGCGCAGAGTAGTTGAATGTTTGACTTGCAAGTAAAGCAAACCAACATGAAGAAGAAAATGGGTACGATATTGTAGTAGAAACTGGTCCAATTGTCAATCTGGAAAGCTGCCACAAAGGCACCCACCAACATAAGGAAAATTGTTCCGGGTCCAAGGATGGTACCACCCATCAATAGAATTTGATAACCAATGTAGGGCATGGAGATGTTGTCGTTGATTTTAATAGTCTTTTTGTAGTCCACTAGAAGATCCATGATGTTTGCAATGGTGGATGGTACCCAACGACGACGCTGGTTGTAGAACTCATTGAAACCTTCCGGGGCATGTGTGTAAGCATCTGAAGCGGCTGAGTATTCTACACGATAGCCTCTTTGTAACAATAAGGTGCAAAGCCAACGATCTTCTCCTTGATCGTACTGCACATAATGTCTAGCTTCATCAGATCGGGTAGTATACTTCTTCATAACATTATCGTCCATTAGAGATTTACCCCTGAAGAGTGAGAAACACCCAGGGCTACAAAGTACGCATCCAATCATGTGTTCAGTAGCCTTTTGAAGCCAATGACCAATAGCATATTCAAACATTTGATACCACACCATGGGACCTGATCCCACAGGGTGAATACGCCCACAGGCAGCTCCTAAGTTCTTGTTTTTCTTCATCAAATCAATCAGGAGGGTTACTGCGGATGGTTGAAAATCAATGTCACCATCCAAAGTCAAAAGATAAGTATTCTCCGCGATAACTGCTTTACGGTCCACTGAGATTGGTAATTCCATGAGGCGATGACCGAGGAGGTAGTACATGTACATGACTTGAGACCAACGTTTACGATGACGAATCTTCATCTTGTCTTTGAGATGAGCAATCATTTTGGTTTTGCCAGGCAGGGTCCAGATTAAGCGACCTCCATACGGTGTGGGTATCTTTTTGGGTGGACGAATGCGGATGTGGGTTTGATGGACGTCACTGGCTGCTTCGTCCAAAGTAGAGACCAATAGTTTAACGAAACGATTGACTTGAGTATCATCGTCATTATGATCAGAGATTTCAAAAGCGTCATCGAAGAAAATGTGAGCTGAAAATAATTAAATTAGAATAGCGCATAAACATAACCTAGATTAAAAATAAACTTACTTTCAAATTCGTAATAATCCGGATCTACAACCCTGAGATATTTTTGGGCTACTCGTCGCGCAGATTGATCTTCATCCAAACGAAGAATACTCTTTAAGAACTCTATCATTTCTTCTTTGTTTTCATGCCACATAGTAGCACACGCATAAATTCTAGTAATATGGTCAGAATTCTTGATAGTTTTCGGGGTAGATCCATCGGTATGGTTAGAAATGGTTTCATAGTATTCATCACCTTTTTCTTTCTGAATTTCGTCTAATTCCTCAGTTTTAACATCCGCTTCATCATCTCTACGTCTATTCATACCCATACTTTGATCGATCAAAAGTCCATCATACATTGGAGACACGTATAGCTTCTCTGTACGTGCCAACCTTTCGCATTTAGGAGTCCAAATATGTAGAGTTATCCATGTTTGTGATAACAACCATAACATCCACACCCACGCATGTTGGTGTGTTATGAAATCGTTGAAGAAATACACAGGTGGGCTTTGATAGAATAAGTAACCTGGTAGGGTTTCATTGAAGAAGCAAGGGTCATCATTTCGCAGACCACATGCAGTAATCAACAAGGAAATAGAAACAGGAATGGTTAGGTTAACAGGGAAGGCATAGGAAAATCCTTGGATCATGATTTTACAAGCGAATTTACCAAATATATAACATAGGTAAGACGCAAGAATGTTGATCATGAGAACATAGACTGGAGACATGTCATTGGCGTTGATGGTAGTATCATCTCCTGTAGTAATCAATTCAGTTAGATCTGGCATGGTGGTACCACCAAGAGTTGGTTTGATTTCCAAGATGGTTATTTTATGTGCGCCAAACCCAGGTGAGAAATCAGTGAAGACAAAACCTGCTTCACCGTGTTTGACGAACATGATCACCAGCAAACTGATCATGAAGATGATACACTTCCAGATTGATATAAAAATATAAGAGAAATAACGGCATCCTTCGAATTCTTCTTTGATTTTTCCTAATCGTTTAATAAACGGAATCGGGGAATGTTTAGAGATATAGTTCTCCCACCATCCGATAGATGTCAAGAAAATGGCGACTGGGATCAACCACATTTCCGGTTTTTGCTCCACAATTGGCCAGACGACAAATCCTGTGGCTTGTGCTGCGATAGCAAACAAATCCACGATCACTTTAATAAACCGTTTTGATTCTTTGTTACTGCGTGACAGTAACCCTAAAACGCCTGGGATGAAACACACGCAGTTGGTGAGCATAGCGCCTTTGACCACGTCCAGATCGGGAAGGACGTAGAAGACTAGCAGCGCAATGCCGATGGTATGCGCCGTCTCGCATAGGAACACGATGAGAAAGTGCGAGAAGGCTGGCTTCTTCCACGATTTGAAGACACACATACGAGATGACCGGAAAAGTGTCCCGAGTTGTGGTACCCAGAACGCAAAGACCAGACACCACATCCACGCGACTCGTTCTTCCTGCGGTAGTTTTACTACGAATTGTTTATCACGGCCTAATTCTCGGTTGCAATACGTGGTTACTTTATCAGGGCTAAGTTGGGAGGTCATGAATAACAGCGTGCCTTTTGCTATCACCCCTGAACCGAGGACAATTACAAAAGTGACGAGGTAAGCGATCGCTTTGAAGATCTTCACGGTGATGTCGAGACATTTTTGGTTGGCCATCGAGCCAGAGTCGACTTTTGTCGGTGGGTCTCGGAAAACGTCCCATCCTTTCGTATCTGGGACTGTTCTAGTACTGAAAACATAAAGAAAATCACATAGAGGTCGTTAGTAGTAAAACATAACCTAATATGGTTGCATAAGTTGTTCATAAGTTGTAGGTAATATAATTAAATTGAAATTAGCAGCGGTTATTAATGATTCAAGGCTGATTGTTGAACATGTACGGCCGCCATATATCAAGAAGGAATTCTCTTTGGCGTTTGAGTGGGTGTGGTTGCCTATTACAAAGATTGCAATGCGTTCGAGTGCGTCGAATGCGTCATGACTTCAAAGGTGTTCCACCTTCTTCTCATCGATGCATTTCTCGGCGATGAGATGGTGGTCAAGAGCAGTAAATAATTCTCAAAGTAATTTACGCACGCCTTTTTTCTTCCCGCGCGATGCAAAACGATGTAAATTTATTATCATATCATGAAGCCGTATAAAATCGGATTTTATGTGCGCAATTTTAATCAAAGAAATATATAACTCCTTGGAGGTCTCGCCGTTTTATTGCTTATTATAATTTATAAACACAATTAAAAACCAACTGCACATCTCGCAATAGTTGTGCAACAATATATGCGGTTTACTATTTACATTATTTTTGTTTATTTTATGTGTTTGTTTGTTGTTGAGTATGAAGAGTGTACCTACTCATGTTACATCTTCGTACGATTGCGATTGCGATGATGGCGCATTGGTAACGTGACGCTCAACGTTTTAAGGCGGCTGAATCGCATTGTCTTTTGCGTTTTCAAGGTGGATGTAAAGAAATATCTGTGTGGAAGCGCCAGATTTGGGCAGAATTTAAATGTGCGGCCTCGAGTAATTGCTCATTACGCCGAGGAAAATAATTAACAATTGCGTGAAATTTTCACTCGTTTGCTCGTTTATTAAGCGACTGATTTATGGTTTTGATAAAATGCGGGTTTAATTATTTTTTAATGTCACTGCAAAAGTATTTGTCATGCTTGATGTGTAGTAAAACACTCACTTTCATCGTTGGATATTGACCTTTCTACTACTTCTTTGTACTTTTGTACGGATGCACTTCTAGTTTGGTGGCTCGTGGCGAGAGGCACCAGATAGCCTTGATGGTCATCCCAAACGCCCTTGATAGAAGGATCAACACCCTTCTAGCTTGCTAACTTCAACTGTACCTTTATACAACTTGCAGGAGTTGCTCAAGAATAGTTTTCATTCAATTTAATCCGATTTGCATCTAATATTTATGTGCATTTTATACATTTATCAACAACTCTTCGTTTTTCTCGTAACTGCGCAAACTCCGTGAAGATTAAAGATGCAAAGCATTAAATTCTTGGACGACGCGTACGAATGCGTTTTGATATATGATAACATTTAAACTTCACTCGAGTTTGTACATTCTCGCGGTTGCGGTGATTCCAAAATAAAAGTAAAACAACTTTTTTAACGTTTGCGCATCGCCGGTGTAAAAGTAAAACGATGCGCAGCAAGTACGTTCAAAACTGCATTCCCTCGCGATGTTTGGCGTTTAGCTTTCAGCCTTTTTACAAACGTTTTATTTCTTGATGGCACATCGTAAAGACGCGACAATAAATGGCAGGATTATTGACTTCTTTGCGCGTTTATTTGCGTTGCGGCATCGTGTTCCATTCGCATGCAAATATAATGCGTACACTTTGAAAAACGGATGATTTTTTTACGTTTTTGATAATTTTGCGTTTGGAAACGCCAAGTCACATCATAAATATATTTAAATATTCTTTTGCTACTGTTTTTAAGCACAAAAAACGCAAAACCAATATTTAATTATACGTTGTCTTGTTTGTATTGTTGTTGTTGGTTCTTTGTTGCTTTTCTTGTCCTAATACATTCTTTCGCCGATGGAAACAATTATTCATACATTAAAACGTTCTACACACCAATGTGTGAGGCAGAGTTTTGAAGGAAATGCCAAGGTAATCTACATTTTTTGCTTTTCTATTATGCGGGGCCGTTCGTTCGCGCTCTATTCTTTAGTCTTCGCCTCGAAGCTCGGACTTCCACCATCCAGCAGCATTCGACATTCTGTTCTGGTTTGCTCTCCCGCTTTGCATTGCATACGAGAACGACACGAGCCATCGTCGTGTATAAATATTAATATTTAATATTAACCTTTTAGCATTCAACTCAATAGGAACTTAATAAGGCAATCGCCAACAAAGTAGTATTAAGAAATAAACACTAAAAATAGAAAAATGGGCAAAAAACAAAAGAAGTAATCGACACGGATATGAACACACGCTGTATGGTTCAATATTCACTTTTAAGTGAAGCATGATTTATTGTTTGGTGTTTTAAAGAAAACAAAAGACCTCCAAAATGCATACGAAATGAATGTGCAAGCTAAACACAAACAAACATAAAACAAATGTAATTTATGGCCGACCCGTTGCCGCCTGTCATTATTGCATGCGTTCGTCGCAAGAAACGCCCTGCGAATTCACGTTAAAAACGGATAATAATCTTTAGAAAGTTGACCGTTCACTTCGGGCTCCTTCGCGCCGGTAATCGCCCGCGTTTCGCCTTCGAATCAGAGCTGAATCGAGTCACGTCCGAGCGCACGCCACAATGAACATTTTTTCAATGCATAACACCGACATAATCGAACATATTGTTACACTTCTTTGAATTTAATTGCTAATTTTTGAAACCTAATCGTTGATTTCGTTGCGTGCGGTTGCGCCACGAACGAAATAAATTTTGTAACTGACCAATTAAAGAAACAAAAACTAAAAAGTCTAAAATTAAACTGCCATAATATATTTTATGTTTGGATTTTCTTTTCATTTGCTTTGGGTTGTGTTTTCTTGGATGCATGACGAGAGAACAAGTTTGAGAGAGTCGCGAGAGGCGAAATGACTCTCGATTTCGGAGCAGATCTTTGAACGTCCTTGCCCAGGCGTGAACTCAGCCCAAAAGAACAAAACGCATCGGCGTTTCGAGATAATAAAAGTAAAAGAAATGAAGGTTGAGGTTAAAAATTGCTGCTAGTGTTAAAAGGAAACTTCCAGGGAATTTTTTTAAATTGTAGTAATTTTAAATTATATTGCACAAATTTTTAATCGTTTTGGTTGACCTGAGGTTTGGGATTCATTGACTCTGAATGTTGCATTTTTTCGTGACTCACCTTCCGCCATAAATATCGTGCGTCAACGGAAAGCTCTCGTCGTCCGAAAAGTTTTCGTCGCTCTCGTGCCGCAGGCCATGATGGGTGGCCATTGTGACGCAATTCTTGGTTGCCTACGACTACCAACTGAAAAGAAATAATTACGTCATTAAATTAATAAATCAAAGAAAAAATAAAATTTTAATAGAATCGTTTGAATTGTATGAAGTTGTTGTGATTAATGTCTCTGACGGCCATTTTGTAGTTGTTTTGACGTGAGTTAACGCGATTCTTGAGCGTTTCGTGCAACTTGTGCGTTTTTCTGTGTCATTTCGGCATAATTAGATATACTTCGAGCGTGAGAGTTTATGAGAATTTATGAAGAATGAAAAGATTAACGTCTGCACAGACTCCGCAAACATAGTTGTGTTTAAAACGTATCGAGGTCTAAGGTTTGACGTTATTTAAACGAACAATCGCAAGAAAGTCACTTGAACAACATTCTATCCATGTAAAAATCTCTAAGAAATAAATAAAATAAAGAAAATCCGCTTGTAAAGAATTAGAAAACTATCAATGCTACTTGTAATTTCTTCAGTTTGATTTTCTCTTAAAAAATGTTGTGAAGAATTACCACCACACGAGATTAAGAGTTGTTGTGTTGTAATTGTTGCAATTATTGACGTTTTCTTTCATCGACTCTAGCGTTTGCATTCACGGCGAAGACGAGTCACGAACAACAAGTTTTCGCACATGATTTCAACGCGCGTTGAGACATTCAGAATGCATCTCGCCATTTTTTGTCGTCCGCCATCTTGCTCCACATATCGACGCGTTATAATTTCCGTGCGGTTTCCCATCTCATTGCACACTTGGTCGGAACATTTCATCAGTGCATGTGGAAAACTGTAGCTACCTCAAGAAATAATGCGAAAATGCGTGCAGTTTTTTTAATTGATTGCCGTGTAATTATAAAGCATGCGCATGGAGCCGTGCAGGTTATGTAAGTTTGGTTTTTATACAATATTCGTTTTTGCGATTCGCAATTTGTGTGCGCAAGGAGTAGACGTGCATGTGATGTGAAAGCATGTGCACAATGCGCGCAATATTATGATGAGCAGGTAATTACAGAGCGTGAAATGTTGAAAATGTTGCGCATCACATTATCTACGAATAAATTAATTAGTAATCACCTATTACAAATTTCCAATAGATTATTTTAAATGTTAAAATGTTTAGAAAATATTTTTGGATTAATTAATTATTAATTAATAATTCTTTCCGGTTGCTTGTCATTGCCACCAAAATTTAATATTCAATAGCATCAATAGTATACACATCAACTTCAAAGTCATAAGGAAATGATTTTATTTCACTTCTTGCGTTTGCGGTTGTTTCCCATTCACACATTTGCATAAAGTCGCAGCTCAATTAGAAAACAATGCAAATATCCAGCATCATAAACACGAATAACCGAGCCGAAACTAAGCCATAATTTGGCATAACCAACTTGAATTTAGTATAAATTTAATAGGCTTAACCTTTGGTCGATTAACCGACATTGAAGGCTTTTTATAACACATTTGCATTTAATTTATTCAACGGGTGGGAGTATTAAAAAGCAATTATTATAATCTACAATGTTTGGCGTTCAGAAGTTGATCTCATGTGAAAAAATAGAATAATAAAGGTCAATTCTTTTTATTATTAAACCGACAGCGATATCTTGCTGTGTTCAGCGTTCAGGTTAACCCTGATTTCTTTTATTTGAACAAACAAATCAATGCTAGTAATCATGGTGATCATTAAGGTAGCTGGAGGTGGCCCAACCCAATGGTTAACATTTTGCAACAAAGTGATATGATCTTGTCCTGCTTGTTTTCAGTTTTATTAGTATTTCTATATAAATACAGTACGGTAATTAATCTTAATTATTATTATAAATGTACACGTTTATTTGTGTTGCTTTCACGCAAAAACAATTTAACTTAATTTGAAATTTTGTAATTTCTGTAAATTTAAATTTTTGTTGACAAATACGTAATTTAATAAATAAATAAGCTAATTACTGTATGATATACTTTGTTGGCAATCGTAAATACTGATTGTCTTTGTTTTTAATGATAAGAAAACAGTTGTTAACAAATGTTTTAACAGAAAACAAAACATCAAGATGATAAATGATTTTGTTTTACATTGTAATTGTTTCGTTCATTTTATCAAGAAGTTTTCAATAGATTGTAACGCCACCTGTAATTAAACTTATAAATGAAAGTATGTAATGAAGTGGAAACTAGTTTTATCGCGTTGATAATCTTGCAAAATGCAAATAACGCAAAGCAAGTTGAGATTGAGAGAGAATCGAGAGCAAAACATTTAACATCTACCTCGAGTTCTGCTTCCACATTCTACGTTTGTATACAAATGTAACTTTTATTTTTGCGTCGACAGAAATTTTAACAAGCAGCTAGCAACGCTGGAAGACAAGACAGGCTAAGACAGCAAGACAAATGCTCGACGTAGAGAAAGTTACGGAAACGACGCATAGACGTAGAACTTTTTGCACGAAGTAGGAGCACAAATGAGCAAAACAACCAGAAGTGTAAACGTAAAAAAGTATTAAAATTAAAAGCGCAATTAACAAAAAAAACTGCTAACAAGGCTTTTTAATTAACAACCAAAAAAATAATTTACAATAAAGTACATTACGTGTACTTTCCAACATTAAAACACACGTAAAACAGAAAAATAAAAAATAAAAGAAAAATTTTATGAAATTTAGTAGTGGGTATCTATATTTTGTGAGTTTTGCAAAAGTCCGCTACTTAAAATCATTTCGAGTGGAACGACTCGCAACCAACAAGGTTTACCAACTTTTACACAAACACACTTACATGTGCAGATATAAAGTTTAAATATATGCTGTTTGCCCACTCGGCAATTACCACAAACGACCAAATCGCCGATGTTTAGTCGCAATATTAAGTAATATACGCTTACATAACCTTTAAATTAAATTTCTTTTTTGATACTTCATAAAACACGTTATAAACAACATTTCACAAACAAATTTATCAAAAAACGCGATTTATATCACTCTGTATATTATTGGGCGTTGTTTAATTTTATCTAGATCAATCTACTTTTCTAATTTATTGTTTCGTAGGAGTTTTAATGTGTTGTTTAACGACGCAAAATTGTAACAAATGTAACAATCACATTAGAAAACCAGTCACGACTCAGAAACTTACCAAACTACAATCGACAAGTGATCAAAAGACTAATTTTTCAAATTATAAACTTAAATTGTTACAATTTAAACAAAATTTCACAAAAAATCATTTCAATTGTTTGCAGATTCTATTCTATTCGTTGGATATTTACAATTCCTTGTCCTGTTGCAAACATTTGTAGCATTAGAATTTATTAGGTGTCTTTTGTACAGTCGTGAGCGTTGGCGTTGTCCGATTTCGATTTTATTAGATTGTTGCAAAGTCCGGTTAAGTGTGCCCACTATCTCTGGCTGTCTCCAACATTCAAAGATTTTAACGAAAAAAACATCGCAGTTCCAGATATGGAAGCGTAGCAAAAGGTTGTTCAACTTTTCAACTCGGTAACATTTAACATGGCGGCTATGGCGATCATAAAATGACCTAACCCTATTTTTTTACTTTAAGAATTACAAAAGAAACAATAAAAAATGACACTTAAAATATTCCAATGTATAAAAATATATATCATAAGAATCAGAACAAGAACAAGAAGTGGACAATATGCGGGATGAATGGAATACTAATCGTGTTTTGGGTGTGTCTTCAAGCGCTTCAAGGTTTTCCTTCAGACGCTCAAACTTGAGACAGGAACGACAAGCGACGCCAACAACAAATGATTTGCGTGTTTCATGCATGAAATCGCATTCAATCTGATTCAGTTTAGTTTAAATTAATTTATTACCGCGGACGTTAGAGTTTTAACGCTAATAATAATTATTTTATTGCAAAATTATCATAATTTAATTTCCTGATACATTTCAAAGAATCTATTTATTTTTAGATGAGTTGTAGGCGAATTGAATAACATGCAATCCATTAAAATGCCAATTCCACAAATCGATTAGTTTCGATCGGCAGCGTGCAAAATATGTTTCAATTTGGAATTCGAACATAAAGTCAAAAACGCACGTTCTCTTTCAGAAGCTGTGGTATGCGCCAGAAGGCAATAAAATATAATGAAATAGAATAAAACCAGATTCGTTTTTAAGTTTGATACTATCAGACAGCAGAAGCAATTCAGTAGCTAATAAAGTCTAAAATAATTTTGAAGATTTAATTTGGTACAAGTTTTTTTTGTTATAATAATATTGACTTAATTTATTTATTAGTTTATTGGTTTATTTACATTTACCTAGATCGTCCTTGAGAACATATTAATTTGATGTTGCAATAGGTTGTTCATGTCAATAATCCTAGCTAACCAATCAAATCAAAATAATATTTTATTCTTAAGATATTTTAACGAAGAGTACGTCATCTCTCATCAACATTTTTAATTATGTTTTTTCGTACATCAAAATATTTGCTTATTACTTTTTGCATATTTGTAGCGTATTAAATAAATAATAAGTGAATGATGACGAAATTGATTGCGTGTATTTAATTAGTTGACATTTGGGCATATTAAATATCTTAATTCTAATTCTAACGTAGTTGCATATTTGAAATTGATTTATTACAAACAAAACGTCTTTAAAATTACACTATGTTTGACATTTCAATAAGTTTTACGATTTTGCAAATATAAATGATTTGATTCGCAAAATTATCTTCAATTCTTTACAGTTTTTCACAAACATTTCATATTCTTGCTTTAAATACGTTTCAAATAAAATTGCAATACGTGTAAGTACATAATGCACTAAAAGTTAATTGTAAATTATTTAATGGTTAAGATTTAATGACACAGTTGTTGGAAATTAAGCACAGCGTTCGTTATAGTCGTACATTAACGTCGAAAATATTTTAAATCAAAGTAGACTACAAAAAATAGTAAGAAACGTTTGAAAGTGAAAGGAAATTGTGAACTAATACACGCAACCAGCATTTATTTATTGGCGATATAGTCGCCGGCCAATGGCATGTAATATCTGA